CTGAAATTCGCAGTGTCTGTACAGAAGCGGGCATGTTTGCTATCCGTGCACGTTGTAAAATGGCTACGGAAAAGGATTTCTTGGATGCGGTGAACAAAGTCATTAAATCCTACGCCAAGTTCAGTGCTACTCCGCGCTATATGACCTACAACTAATCAACTAATTATTTTGTCGTCATTTGTGATGGGAAGATATTTCCCAATGCTCCCTGCCTTTTCAAAAGAAAAACCTGTTTTAATATAGTTTTCGTTCTCTTATCCGGTCGTGCGTCTCTTGCATACCTTGAGGTCTTGAACTATAATCAAAGGTGTTTAGTTGAGACCTTTCATATTTCCCTTTGGCGATACCCACTTAAGCATCGGTTTTCCAAGAGGTTAAAAGCCAAGAGTGCGAGGACGATGGAGCCTTTGTAAACAACACTGGGTAAATTGGCGAAGCGGTTGTCTCACTTGCCTTCCTGTCACTAGAGCATTGACCGACTCTCTTGCCGACCCTAACTACATCGCTATGCACTTGATCCATCGGTGCTGTCGAGGCACTGGGGATGCCGACCGAAATACGTTGTAGCCAAGGGGGGAGGGACGTGGATCCGGTTTCACGAACATGTGCCTTTGCAAACGATTTTGTGCGGGCCGACTGCTCGCACCTAATGCAGACCGGGATATTCCCTTTCAAGCAACTGGTGTGGTTTGCGAACTTTAGAAGTCCATGTAATATGGTTTCTTTGCCCCCAATACTTGAACTGTTTTTTTTTCCGAACGGTTATACATCAGGGATGTAACGAATATCTTTCGGGAAACAAATATCCTTGTCTGAAGTTTCGGGTTCGCCCGTTCTCACAAATTAAAAAGTGCAGGTTTGCATCGCCCGTTGTCCCTGCGTTCTTTAGGTTTACGGGCAAGTAACGGCCAACGAGGCGACACTAGGCGAAAGGTTACTGGACTGGGTTTCGGTGTGAAATGGCTCGTCTGCTGCCCAAAAACTGAGACATAGAGCCACCCCGGGGACGAACAAAACCGAGGGTTGCGGCTTCGGTGACTCGCTAGAGGCAGGCGACTGCGTACGCAGCCGCTATATTCTCGCTAGATTTTAAACGGCCGCCTACAATCAAAACTGTTTAGTGTTCGGATTAGGCCCCTCAAATAGCCTGTAATCTGGCAGTACGTATAAATATCAGTTTATTGGGAGGAAGATAGGCGAATGCCTTTGAGCTCCTTAGTGGGAACCACAGCAGACGCGTCTTCGACCGCGTTCCCACCTGCCCTCACGGCAGCCAAGGTCTGCTACACCAATCCTCTCTACAGTGGATCTATCTCCCCTCTACATCTCTGTTTTTGACGACGGAGCAGCCCCTC